CATACTTATAAGCTATTGTATTCAGAGTTGTCAGTAGGATGTGGGTTGAATGATCTCATCAGATAGATAAGAGCATGTTATTTGGATGCCTTTAAGCATACCTTTGAAGGCCAGCAGTCACACAAGAATTTTGAATATCCGTTCATGGCATTGAGTGAAAGAGTATACCGCCATTCCAGCCTGTAGCACATTCTTTGAGTGGTGACAATCATTTTGACAGTGCGCAGGGGACCTGAATGACATGATGATAAAATCACCCGGGAGGTTTTGTAAGAGCTGAAACCCTGAACCTGCTCCCTGAGACCTGGCCTTCATTTCCTATATGCATCTCTTCGGATGGAAGAGAACAATCACTGAGGGGCCTGGATGTCATAAAACAGGCCATTTGGTCTTCAGACAATGCTGGAAACCAAGTGTCCCCAAGGCAACTAATGAAAATAGTCTATGATTAGCCTGTAAATGATTTAAAAAGTTTTGTTAAAAGTTTGGGGGCTGGAGATGAGCTCAGTGGTAGCTCATTTGCTTAGCATGAATGAGACCCTAAGTTCTATCCCTAGTACTGCAAAAAAAAGAAAAAAAATAAGTAAAAATTTGGTCCTTGTTGGTAATAAAACAGGACCAAGAAGTCTGGAGCTCTCAGGAGCCTCATTCAGTCATACCACAATGCAAATTTAAATTTCCTGGCACTCAATGATTGTTGATAGTCCATTTGAGAAGTTGATAAAAAAACTAACATTCCTACCATATTAAGGATCAGAACTAAATAGTTGATCATTTGTTCAAAATTGTTGAATCTACAAAAAACTCTAAATTTGTTAGCCCACCCTTGAAGTTGAGGATATTTGAAAAGAAAGTCAGGCACAGATTGGTTTTTGGATCCTAGAAATGAGTGGGCCTGGCTCTCAGGACCTCGATGCATGTATAGAAAGTAGGGTGACCAGAAAATGTACAAACCCGCAGGCCTGTCCTCAACACTGTCCTGAGCAAGTAGGCAAGTCTAAACAACTGTCAAATCCTTGGCAAATTCCTTTAAAAAAATTTTTTTTGGAGGCCTGCAGGGAGAGCTCCCCAAATCTGGGTCTTTGAAGAGTGAATTTAATTGTAGAAAGCAGCCAGTCTTCACTATAGTCAAGCCTAGTGAATGAGGAAAATGATCAGGATGAGCAAATTAAAAATAAGGTGGGGTCATAAGATGACAAAACTGGTTTGCTCAGCTGACCCACGTTATGGTTCTGAGGGGTTATTCCAGAAGCAGTGAAAGAAATACCTTCCTTCCTCCTATTCCTGAGTACAATATCTAAGAGGGCAGATGGAGAGCACAGACCAAAATCTTTTAAAAAAATAGGTATTGCCTTGGGCCAAAACTTAAGTTCCTAAGGATTTATTATAAAGAAAGTATTGAGATGATTCGCAGTGATTCCCTGAGTAAGTTTGTTTCAGTAATAGAAACATCTTGAAATTGGAACTAGCCTAAGCATCCAGTCATTTCTACTGCTGGATTGACTAAATACAAGAGGACTTATGAAATCAGTAGGACATTGTGAGCCATAGAAGTGATACTCCTAGCCGGGTGAGGTGGCACATGCCAGTAATCGCAGCATTTGGGAGGCTGAGGCAGGAGGATCGCCTTGAATTCAATGCCAGCCTGGACTATATAGTGAGTTCAAGGCCAGCCCGAACCGCATAGCGAGACCCTGTCTCAAAAAAACCCAAAAACAAACAAACAAAAAAAGATGAACCCGAAATGTTTCTGTTGGTATGAAAAACTGCTCATGTTAAGTGAAAAGAGCAAATTACAAAACAGTGTTAAGATCAGATCCCGGGGAAAGTATGTAGATATGAGGAAAGAATAGTAAAGGATTTGGAAAGGAGGGAAGGATTGTGGATATTTTCTATTCTTTATGTGTGTCTATATATTCTAATTTTTCTGTAACAATAATTTTTATAATAAAAAGGTAATAAAGGGAAACATTTTAAAAAGAGACTGATTCTGTATGCTCAGAAAGGAGCTATGATGTACCTGTACTAGTGCACAAGGGAAGCTGTGACAAAATAGCACAAATAAGGTATCTTAACAGAAACCTTATTTCCTAGGCTGGAGGCTGGGAGGCTGAGATCAGGCGGGACAGACTTTGTTCCTCCCACATGCTGTGCAGGCTCTGTCCTGTGCTTCTCTCTGCAGCTGGTGCTTTGCTGGTGTCCGGGGCTTCTGCTGCATCACTTGAGTCTCTGCCTTCATTGTCACACGGTGTTCTCTCTGAGTGTGTGTGCCCAGATTTCTGCTTTTCATAAGGACAACAGTTAGACTGGATTGGGGGCTCACCCTACTCCACTATGACTTCATCTTAACTACAACTGCAATGACCCTGTTTCCAGAGAAGATCACATTCCAGGATATTGCTGATTAGGGCTTAAGTGTATGACTTTGAGGGGGACACAGTTAAACCCACAGCAGTAGCCTAGGCAGATAGCAACATGCTTCTGCCCACAAGGTCAATACTAAGCTGCCACCTGCTGCACAGCATGAAGGTGGCCAATATCAGGAGTAGTGGATGGAGACACTGACCTATTCCTTGCAGGACTGCGGGTTCAAAGATAAAGGTGGAAAACAACCCCATAGCACAGCCTCCTCCTACCCCAGGTGCCCTGGCCAGGGCTACAACCAGGGATGAACATTCAGAAGAGCACATCTGATCTAGGGGCACACTTTAAAGATCTAAAAAGAAGGAATAACCTAATGAAAAGGAAAATGACACATTGTTACTTTTGGTTGCATATAAGAGATGTGACTTATAGTCATCGATACTCATCAGACCTGGTTCTGGTCACATTTTGATGAGAGAAAATGTCTTAGCATTGTGTGCTTCCCGGTCTCATGGTAGCTCAGAACAGGGCAGAATCCCCAGGTATTCATCATGACTGTCTTGTGCATTTTAAGTGCTAATCATGGTTTGAAAAAAAGGTTAAGACTGATACCACTAAGCCTAAGAGGCTTATATTAGCCCAGTATGGTGCAAAAGTCCTGGGGAATTTCATGAATGATTTCTAATGACACTATTTCCTATGGGAAAAATTCGTTTGGTACCCATCAGTCTCAGCATTCAACATGAGTTATGGAATGAATTAATGGAAAGTACCAAGGTATGACTATACAAAACAAAACAAAAAAGCTAGAAAGGCCAAAAGGGAGAAGAGGTGTTGTAAGTATTATAAGAAGACCTGCACGTGGATATTTATAGTAATTTTATTTATAATCACCTAAAACTAGAAATAATCAAGATGCCCCTCAATAAGTGAAAGAGTAAGCTAACTGCAGTACATCCACACAACAGAGTATTATTCAGCAATAAAAAGAAATGAGCCATGAAAAGACAGGGAAACCTTAAATGCACACTGCTAAGTGAAAGAAACCAGTCTGAAAAGGCTGCATAGTGTATGATCCCAGCTCTATGACATTCTGGAAAAGGTAAAACTATAGAGGCAGCAAAAAGACAAGTGGTTGCCAGGGACTGGCTGGGCTGGGGGAAGGGAGAGGGTGTGGAGGTGAATAGGCAGAGCTTGGGATTTTCAGGATAGTGAAATGACTCTATGTGCTATTGTACTGATGAATGCATTTACCAAAACCCACAGACTGCAAGACACAGAGTGAATCCTAATGGAAACTGGCAACTTAGGTTAACACACCAATATTTGCTAATCAGTCATAGCAAATGTACCACATCAAAGTGAGACGTTAGTAATAAGGCAATTTAGGACAGGGAGGGAAGCAGAGTATATGTATACTACTGGCCAGCTTTTCTATATACCCAAAACTGTGCTAAAAAAAGTCAAGTCTATTAACTTAAAATCAACCTCCCAAAATATATTCTGCATAAAGAAATGTAAAAGAAATCATGCATTTAGCTAGCTACCCAAAGGGGGCCTTTGGCAGATAAAAGTTGGGGAAACTGCAAAAGTTAGCTCTTTTTCAAAGGCAGCCGAAAAGACACACGATGACCAAAGTGTGAACCAGCGGGGCTCTCAGAGATTCAAACACTCCTGACCGCTGACACCTATCTCAGACTCAACAAAGCCTTTCTAATGGCGCTCAGAAGGAAGGGGGAGGGGAGGAGGAGGGGAACCAAAGTCTTATTCAAAGAAATAACAGTTTGGAACGTGCACAAGAGTGTCAACAAGTTATGTAGATCTTATCAGCATCACATTTTTGATGCCTCCCAGCAATCCAGCCAGGCTCCACCAGCCTGTCAACACCAGCGGCGTCCTGCGTCTCTGGGGCCCATCAACACCTTGGGAGGCCCTGTCCCTGCCAGGCCTGCCTCCCCAGAGCCCTGGAAGCCAGGGACCCGATCGTCTCTCCCTCTCCTCTCAGGATACCATCACATCTTCCACCCGGGTAGGCCTGAGTACCTGGTGTCCCTTCCCCTGCTAAGACTCGGTGGCTTGGTTGGGGCTCAATGTCAATAAAATGGAACAAATCTTAACGATAACTTTGCAAAGAGTACACAAGGTGGAAAAATCTAATGTCTTCACATCTGAAGGAAGAGAATATATACTTTCAGTCCTATGGAGAGAAATTATGCAGGTGTTGAAGTATTTAAAGCTTGTATCATTCCAGTTTTAGTATATGTGCTGCCCAAGTGAGCACTGAAGTATTTAAAGCTTGTATGTGGTGTTCCTACATTTGCAGATGAAACATCATTTTGAAAAATGATGAATATGGGAGAAGGCATAACCCTCCATTGAGATTCTTTTCTTCAAACCTCCTAAAAATGAAGCCCCCAGAGTCTAGAAATACATATGTAAATATATAGTTACATAGTGTATAAATTTATATATAAAATGTGTGGACATTGATTCATGATAATGCAGACTTTCAAATGTAACCTTGATAAAGGATGCAAAAAACATTTTTTCAAGCAATGAAATGATTGTCTTTCTTTTACAATTACCTGTTTATTACATTAGAGTCAGTGAATGGGTCTCTTTGTTTTCATTTTTAGGCGGCTTTAAGTGCCTTGAAACAATTTTCTGAACAAGGACTGGATCCAATTGGTGGGACAATGACTACTGAAAAACGTTCTCTTGAAAAGTGAGTAAAACTTCCATCAGTATTTTTATATTTGTAATTTTGAAACAGTACAAAAGATGAGACACAGATAATTTTAAGGTTTTTAAAAATTCAGACAATGTTATCCAAATTTTACAAAATTACTCATAATAGAAAATTAAAATGCAGATTTTTGTATGTGGTACTGAAGAATGTATGTAGGGATTGTCTCATGGAGCCACCTCTCCAGTCCTTTTTTATTTTTTATTTTGAGACAGGGTCTCCCTAAGTCACCAGGTTTCCCAGGCTGGGTTTGAACTTGGCGTATTCCTGTCTTAGGCTCGCATAGTGCTGGGATCGGAAGTATGTGCCACCATACCCAGCTTTAAATGTAGATAAATGAAAACAGTATACTATTTATGGCCATATTCATCTCCTATAAATTGTCTGTGAAACTTTTAGCCTATGAACTGATCATTACTTCTGCATTCTAACTAGAAATATTTATGAGTCTTTTTGACTGTAAATACTGCAAAACTTACAAAAGATTGTTTTTTACTTCATACTGCTAGGCATTCTCTGGCCAACCTCTTTTCTGCAGAAAAAAACCAAAACAGAACAACAGCAACAAAAACCTCTCACAATCCTGCTAAGTTGTGGACAAAACTAATAGAAAAAAGAAAAAAAAAAAAGATGGAGAGGTGTCCTTCTCCTTGGCTACATTTGGCTTTGCACATTGTCACAGAAGTGGGCTCCCTAGGACTGCAAAGGCAAAAATGCAGCTATAATAACTATTTTTGAAATGTAGCTAATAGCTCTTTATGAGGTTTGAACATAAGCTTCTATCTAAGGGACTGATTTGGGGGTCTTTCCAAGGACCCAGTTTATACTAAAAAAATGGAAAGCAATTATATTCACATAGTACAATCTGAAGCCTTTCAAAGTAATAATGACAGCTGATGAGATCCCTGAACACACACCAGAGATAACATTTTTAGAATTAAAATAAAAATAGATAACCCAGGAAGTAAAAACCAGATATACTGATCATATAGTTAAATGAGCATTACCCCCCCCAAAAAAACCCAGAAAACAACAGTAATAACAAAAACAACCGAATTTAGTCATCAATATTTAAAAGGTAAGAGCGTGAGAAGAAAACATTTGGTAAACAGACATGGCATTTTAAGCTGTCTATAGACTGGCAACCATTTATAAGCTAATTTAATCAAAACCATTTCCACATGATCTCATCAGCAGACTATCTGAACATAAATATTGTTGTTTCACTTTAAAATGTCACTTTCGTGGTGACCTTTGAATCCTATGTGCCATCTGCTAATAAACATGTCTGAAGATGTGCAACCCTGGACCTCAGCTCTTGTTGCTGTATTAATCTTTCAGACAAGCCAAGCATCTGAGAGAGAAAGCGGACAATAACCAGGCGAACCCGGGCTCCATTGCTCAGGACTGCAAGAAATCAAAGTCGGCCATCTAGCAGCTCTCAGAACCCACGGCCGCCACCGCATCCTTATAAACCTGTCAGCACACATGAGGGTGTCTGTGTTCAAGGAAATGAATGACTAATACCATGATTTGAGTCTTATGTGAAGACAACACTATTCTAACACAAGAGATAATATACATGGTACTGTTTATTCAACTGGGGGAAAATAAAACTGAGCATTTCCCTTGGAACTTGAGATTAGATCATAACTCATTTGCCCAGAGGCAGTAGAAATCTGATCCTGCTACTGGAGCTTAAAATAACAATTAATGAAAAGTGTTAGAAACAGAGCTAAAGTTTTAAAATGATTGGTTTGGTTCTGTTGTTATGATTGTTTTGTCGTGGTGCTTGTGTTCAGTTACATTCTCTCCTGTTTGAAATAATGCTTGACAATTCAAAAATTAACCAATGATGTACTGTGGAATGTGATGGTTGTTGTCTTCATATAGAGTCACACAGTTTCTCTTTTTCTGCAGATATTTGTAATCTTCATCCTGTATCGATATGAATAACTTTAAGTTGCACTACACAAAGATGTATGCAAACTAATATGTTTTAAATCAGGTCCGATATTTGATTAAAAATATGAAATAATGCTAGGAACAAGTAGTTTCCATGTATGCCAGGAATTTAAAGAACAAAACAAAACCAAGTTGTTGTGGGTTTTGAGCTCCATGATGCCATTAGCAACCAAGGGGGCGTCTTGCCTCTGCACATCCCTTTCCTGGATTCCACTCTCTCTTGTGGAAATTGTGCCCACCCCTACCCGTGTGTTGTAGCCACTTGCTGTTTTTTGCATCAAGAGTGTCTTTATTAACTTCCTCTGGACTTGGGACAATGAGTGGGATCAAAATAAATAATGTACATGGCGGGAAGGGAAAGCCTGTTGGAGAAGCTTCCAGCCAGCCACGATCTGGACCAGCATGTTGGAATCCAGTGTAGTGGCCAATGCAGTAAAAATGTGGTCAGTTTCTGTGTGAAGTGTTGTTATTGTTGTTCCTTCATTCTCTCACTCTCATCTTTTAAATATCACCTCAGTGAAACCCATCCGAAGGCTGCCACCCGGCAGAGTCATCCTGCTCAGCAGAGGAATTAGTGGCTGTATCTGCGAAACTGCCGAGCTGCCTCCTGGGTGACTCGGGCAGGCTTCCTGCCTGGCCAACGTCATCTCATTGTTCAGGCTTTCTCCTTATTGATTACACACGTTGTGTAATGAGAAAACACTATATGGTCTAACTGCGCGACCCAACCTGAAAATAGGAATAATTATGTAAGATTTCACAAGCAAAACCACCACAAATCATGATCTGGCTGACTCACACGCGACTGGAGAATAAACAAACAGCACCATAAGGAAATAACTCCGGGGTTGTTGTTAATGATTCCCATGTGGGGAAGTCCGTCCGTATTGGGAGGGCTGGGTGCCCTTGGAGGAAATAGGTTTTGTTACATAAAGCTGGGTCCCTGTGAGAACAGCATATTTGTGAAGTTGAGGTTCACAAAGGTAAACTGTTTGAATCATAGCCCTGTTGCCTAACTCAAGGGCTCAGGGGGGTCCTAAATCATTCCCTTAGAAGTAGACAAGCCCTTTCCTCAGCTAGGACATGACCACCTGAGGCTTCTGCCCTCAGATGAGGTGGGGGCTTATTTCAGGCAGGGTCATGAAAGTGGCTCTTCACAACTGAAGCCTTCTGCAGTGACACCCAGGCCACCAGGTCTGTGGGACGGTGATGAGTGCAGGGAATAAACAAAGCCAATCAGTTCCCAGGACCCAAGTATCTGAAGCATCTAACAGGAGCTGTCCTCAGAGCTGATACATCACTGAGCCCACAGAGTGGGCAGCATGGTGGCGGGGGAATAGAAATTTGCACAGGATCTCAAGTGTCATGCTAGATAATTTATCCACAATCCCATGCCCTCTGCCTGCTGGAAGAGCCACAGGAAGGCCTTCAGCTATCTTCCCCGGAACAGCAGCACTTCCTGGGCCTTTTAAAAAATTACCAATGCAAATGATGGGTGGCCTGCAGTCCCTGGCAGGGACCTGCTGCACATTCAGTTCCAAAGCGCAATGTTATATATCATTGAGGGGAAACCATTAAGTAGATTTATTGAAAGAATGTTTCTTCAGCACAAGGAGATCTTTTTGATGAAAAATGGAACTCATTATTCTTTAAAGGACACAGATTGACTTATCTCCTTTATCAATTACAGTGTCTGCTTTCAGCTTTTCTCAATCAGCACAGGGCTTTTGTAGTCATTTCCCAGTGCTGAGGCCAATGTGTTTTGTGAAAAAGGGTTGTTTTTACATTTTAATTGGAAATATAATATTGTACTTTAGAACTCTGACCATCCCTTCCAGTACAACTTGCCAAAGATCAATGGCAAGACACCACCTATCAGGCCATGGCAGACATTCCTTGCCTTTCCCGGGGTGACCCCCCTCAGAGAAGATGTCCCCACATTCTTCTCCCCAGCAAACATTCACAATGGTGATTTTAAAAAATAATTTCAATCAATTTTGTACACCATAAAGTAAAAATAGATGAGTGAGAATACCTAGTGACTGGAAATGTGGTCCAGACCTACTGACTAGGGTTTAAATCCTCCTGCACACGCGTTAGCACTCTAACTGCCCAGAGTTTGTTTTGTACCTTTTCATTTCCAAAGGCCTTTTGTTACTACTATGGCCAAGAATGACAGAGAGCCTAACAGTTTTGCACACAGAGCTGATAAGTCATTATGACAAAATCAGGTGTGAAATCGCCTTTGTCTCTTATAGCCTAACTCACCATGATATAAGCACCTGGTAAATGTATAAGTGATACATTGAAGAAGTGGAGAAATGAATGATCTATCATCTGACACTTCTTGGAGAAATAAATTTTAAATCTCACACATGGAGATGGATACTTATAATAACACATGGTGTTACTGTTGATATGATATTACACACTCAACCCCAGGGAACTAGGCAAAAATCTTTCACTTACTTCAGAAGACTTTGGATCCATGGGACCTCCTTCTCCCATCTTCTCATTTTTCATTTATATTTTTTTCCCTAGGCTAACAGAATTAATGCCAATCCCCACCCTGAGATAAATTCCTGTATTTTCAATCGCGTGTGCATAACTTCATGAGGAAAGACTTTGTAATATCTGGTTCAAAGCAAAGACTTCCATAGACCTCGTCGAACTCAGCTGTCTATTTCTGGCAGATGCACCCAAGTTCCATCTCACCTTGCAAGGCTTGTTTAAAAGTTATCTCAATGGGGAACCTTTCCTTTTAGGTTCTAGCCTCTTACCACAAGAGTTCCTTGACTTTATCTCCAGCACATTCTAGTGTGTGCTAGGAATTCAGAAAATAATAAAACAACTTCATTTTCAAGAGTTCTCATTCTAGCTATTAGAAAAGAGCAACAAGAAGATGAGCCTGAAGAATTGAACGTGCTGCACTCAGAAGTGTTTCAGCTAGTAGTTCACCTGCTCTTCTCCTTAAATCATTGACTGTTCTCTCCCTCCTTTATCCTCCTGAGCCTTGGGAACTATGCTATACATTCGGGTGACATTGTCAAAGAAGCCATGTCTGCTTTCAAGGATCTTTTACCTTTAGTAGCATGTCTCACTCCTACCACATTCCAAACATCAATTGACCCCTCCCATGTACACATACTAAAGTGAAATCTCTTTAAGCTCACCAACACTCAGGAAGCCAATCCAATCAACCCATTTTTTTTTTCCTCTTTGTATGTTCTGATCTGGAGCATACTCATCTTAATACAGTAAATACTCAATAAATGTTTGTTGATTAGATGAGCAACATGGAAAAACTCTGCCATGATAATTTTTCCTTGTCTAATTATACCAATGGTGACCTGGACAAGAGAAGTCTGACCTATTGGAAGAAGCCTCCTGCTGAAGAATAAACTTCTAGCTCTAGTTCAGTTAGCATATAGCCTTGTTGAAGTTATTCAACATCTTCAAGTTTCAGCTTTTCACCCAGAACTCAGGGAAAAGAACATGCAGGAGTATATGGACTATTTTTGAATGTTTACACACCATGGAAGTAAATACAATATTTCAGTCCATTAGTGGGTATTAGGAAAGAGCAATGGTCTAGAGGTCTAGTCTGGGGTTCAGATAGCCTCAACTACTTTCCACATTTTTAAGTGGGCAAGGCTTCTTGTAATCATATGCTAATTCTTTCAACATAGTAAACAGTGAAACTTAGTACTGTTCCCTAAATGTCATATTAGTTGGATAAAGATGTGACTTTGGCAAGGAATATAGTCTTCCTGGTTTCATCTTTCACATGCATAACATGACAGCCCCCAAGAGCAAGGTAGCTCTACATTTCTCATAGTACCTTTATTACTAGTGGTATACTTTTATTCAAATGTTGTCTGTAAGAGATGTGAAGTTTTTGTGAAACACCTGGAGGGAAAATACCACTCCTGTATCAATTAGGGTCCTTTTAGTTGCAAGTTATGAAAATCAATTCAAACCAGCGATGGGATATTTCCCATAAAGCCAGAGAAGTGTTTTGCAAAAATACAGAAACACAGAGCCAGGGAGTAGAAGGCTCTGGGGAAACTAGGAAATTCTCTTTCTCTTTCAATTCCCCATTCTTTCTCTTTTTTCTCTCTCCCAAACAAGTTCCTGCTTGTCAAGCACACACATTGGAGAACATGGCTAACAAAAGAACTCAAGACTGCAAATACCTGAAGAAACACTACCTTTCTCTTTTGATTTCATTCCCAAAGTTTTAGGAAGTGACCCCTGATTGGCCTAGCTTGTACTAGTCGTTCAGCCCTTGGCCCATGTTGTGCAAATATGGCTGGTTTAAATCTACCCCAAGGGAGCAGTGTGGAGTAGTCATGGGAGATGACAGAATTACTGTTTAGGGAGACAACCCAATAGATATCTACCTCAATTACTTCCTACATTTTTACAGGGGCAAAGCTCCTTATAATCATGTGCTAATTCTTACTTTCAACATAATAAATAGTGAAACCTAACTGAATAATGTTCTCCCAAGTGTCAGAGATTGCGCTCAAGTTTATGAATGCTGTAGCATTTTGTTTAGTTTTGTTTAATCCTTCCAGTCTTTAGTTTCAAGGGTCTGCTGAACCACATAATTATGCTGAATGAGTCATAAACTACCTAGAGAAAAAATAAAAACTTTCCAGTGATTCCAAATGAATGTATTAGTCTCCTTCCTTTCAGCACACACAAACAATAAAAAAAAAAAAAATTTTTTTTTTTTTTTTAGTGCAGTAGAGTGGTTAAAGATCTTCTGATTTCTACAGACCAAAAAATCAAAAACTACTTCTCTGCTTTTGTTATCCTGAAAGATATTAATCAGAAGGAATTTCAGCCTGGGGATTTAGCTCAGTGTTACCCTGCCTGCCTGGGAAGCACAAGGTCCTGAGTTCGATCCCTGGTACCAAAAAAAAAAAAAGAAGGAATTTCAGTCTTGCAGCTGAGGCTGGGAGAGACAGAGTCAATTTTGATCTCATTTTCTTTCAAACTTCACTCGTAATTATCAGGAAGGTCCAAAGAAGGCAGAGAACTTCTTGTTGATTGTTTTGTTTTGTTTTGAATGCATAGGAGGCAGAAAATAAAATCAGAAATTTGGTTTGAAAACTAATGAGGCTGAGGAAGCCAAACTGCCTTAGAGAAGAATGGGCGGATGGGAAATTCTAGAGAAGGCTTTGATGGGAACAGAGTAGGTGTTTCCTGGAGTAATTCTTCAGGAATGAGCAGCCAACACCTTCCATTTCCTTGTGAGCTTCCCCAGATCTTTTACATGAATAGTCATATTTTTCAGAATGGTGTTTGACCACTGGTTTTTCCTCATTTGATAAGTTCAGAAGAAGAAACAAGATCTCTCTTCACCAACTCAAGATGATTAATAAGCTCCCAGCTTTGTGAAAGACAAGGCCTGGATGTGAACCCCAAGGAGAATCCAGCCAGTAGATTATCCCTGAATCTCTGATACCAGGGAAGTTCAGAACTATTTTGGGGGTGGGCAGGAACCAGAGTTGCTTCCACAGTCATCCCAACCTGACACACACCACCTGTTCATACATCCAGCTTTACTGCAGCATCTGCCTCTGTCTTGGGAAGAGAAGAGTCCACAAGCCTGAAAATATCTGGCTAAACAAATCTTGCCCTCTAATTTCTGACCTTGGCCAAATTCTAGCCTATCAATCTGTTAACAAATATGGATAGTCTCTGTCCTTAAGTTAGTCACCATGAAAAACCAAATAAAGCCTAAAGTAAAAGCTGTACTCTCCAAAACTCCCAGTCCATTTGGGAAGATGAAATAGAAACAAGATATTGGGAGAAATTGCAGGGAGACA